GCGGCACTGTAGTTCGCCCCTGTCTCTGTGACACGCCTTTTGTGTACTGGAGCAATAAACAAAGAGGAATGTCTTGTTTGGTACTACATAGTACCTTCCACCTAAACCTTGTCTACTTCCAAGGCAAGTCTAAACTGGTTTCTACTTAGAAGACTATATAAAAATACATTTTACAGAATTTTCACCGACAATGAACCAGTTACTCTTAATACTAACGTTATGTCTGTGACTTAGAGAAATGTACACAAATATTTTGAGCTACAATCTCAGAAATGAATTCCTGGTTATCAGCTGTTACAAGCTACTGTAAACATTAAAAGAAGATGGTGTGACGTAATGGCTCATGGAGAGAAAATAATGACCAATTTCAATAATTCACTTTCTGGTATACAAAGAGTAAATTTAACTTTAAAAAAATAAATTTCAACAAAAGTTCAAAAGATATTTTGATGGTTTATTCAAAGAGAATACTTATCTAAATATAACTACTACAGCGCTTGAAAAATTGTTTTTAAAATGTTAAAGAACAACCAAAATAAACAGAAAACAAAATCAACTTTATTTCTTTTAGCGTTATTAAATCAAAATTTTACATCTAAATCGGTCGTGTATTAGTACTTTACACTGAAATCATTAGTTACAAAATAACTGTATTCCATTAAACACATTTATGTACAAATTTATGCCATATTGTTTTGTTAAACGATCTTGACCTGGGTAGCAAGTTTTTAACAAATAATTTGGTATAAGTGGATGAAATTTCATTCGCAAGTCGCTATCTATAAAGCAAAGTTTAAATAAACCTGGTAACAGAGGCGTAGCGACCCTTCCCGGCGCCCGCGGACAAACTTTTCGATTTGCACCCCCCCCCCCCCTCGAGATTTCGATTTCACCCCCCCCCCCCCCCCTCAAACTTTGGACTTGCACCCCCTTCTCAAACTTTCGATTTGCAACCCCCTCAACTTTTCAATTTATTTTTCCAACCCATTTTGGCGCCCCCTGAGGTCGGCGCCCGGGGACATATGTCCCGCCCCCCCCCCCCCCTCGCTACGCTACTGCCTAGTAAAAACACTAGAAAAAATACATTTTTCTCTTGTCCAAATTTTTGATTAAAATTCCACTCGTCAATAAACAGTATTAAAATCATCCTCTATTTCAAAAAACAACAACCGCCGTATTAATCGTGTTAGCTTTCAGCGTAAAACAGAAAATGGCGCTAAATCATGCAGTTCTGTTCACCGTCCTGTTCGGGTCCTTCGTGTACACCTATGGCACCACCTGTTCTGTCCTGCAGGACATGTACTCTAAGGTAAGTGGTCCTACTGACAGAAACTTTAATCATTACAGGGACATATTTCATTTTCAGATGTAGGATTTTTTCTCAACATCACAAATCTTTTTGTTATGTCTGCAGGAAACTGTTAAATTACATGAAAAAGTTGCCATTGTCTTTTGTATATCTAATATATATATATATATATATATATATATATATATATATATATATATATATATATATATATATATATATATATATATATATATATATATATATATATATGTAGACATATATACACATAAACATATATATATAGAGACATATATAATTATATATATATATATATATATATATATATATATATATATATATATATATATATATATATATATATATATGCCATAAACACTTGTAAATATGTGTATACGCATGTGTAAATGTATTTAAATATAACTTTTTATGTATTTAACTTACATCGCCTAAATTCGAAAGTCTACTTCTAAATTCTTACATCTAAATTCGAGTACCTAACTCTATCGTAACATTCAAACATCTAATTTCCAATATTGAAAAATAGACGTGTCTGGGGAACGGTTATACCATCAGGTGTAACAACGTGACAATTCCTCGCCTGATGACATATGACGAGTGTCACCTGAATGTCACCGAGATAATGTTCCGCGTGAGTAGCTTGAGTATAACTGACAGACAGACCACTTAAGGTTTTTGTTTTAATTTTTTACTTAGATGAGATGAATAGTGTTTATTTTGAGACGTTCCACAATATATATATATATATATATATATATATATATATATATATATATATATATATATATATATATATTCCAGGACAGCGTCATCGAAAGCATAGAGGACAACAGCCTGCCAGGACTTAAATATCTCGAGGCATTTAATTCGACCATTAAAAATATTTCCGACGGCGCCTTCAACAACTGCGCCCAGACCCTGACCAGCATCCATTTCAGCAGATCGGAAGTTCCAGACGTCCCAAACGTTCTGAGTGGCCTTCAACATCTGGGCGTCTTGGAGCTGCGTGACGTCACCATCGGCACCTGGAACAGCTCCGACCTTCACCTTGTTGGTCAGACCATTTGGAATTTGATTTTGGCAAACAATTCCTTGACCACATGGCCGGAATGGATGCAGAACTTCAAAGCTCTGAAATATCTGGACTTTGTAGATAATCACGTGACAACCGTCCCGGACAATGCCCTGCTAAATATAGCCAATACCTTGACCGATCTAAATTTTGAGGACGCCAACTTAATACACATTCCCAATGATTGGTCACAGTTGAAAGCATTAAAACGATTAACGTTAATGGATAATATATTGACAGAAGCAAGGAACATACCCTCACAGCTATCATACTTAAACCTCGTCAATAACCGATTCACAGAAATAACCGTCGACTCGTTTCCTTTATCTTCAAGTCTTGTAGAGCTAGACCTCTCAGAAAACCCTATCACATTCATATCCAATGACGCTTTTCGCAATCTCCAGGCTTTAAGTTACTTGTCTTTGAGGTACACCAGCCTGACCAGGGTGCCACTTGGCCTGACGTTCTTGACCCAGCCCAGTCACATTGACCTGCGGGATGTGACGTCACTGGTGTGCACGTGCCTGGAGTCTGGTCTGACACCCTGGTTCTCTGCCCACCCCACGCTATTACTTGAAGGGATATGTGGTGACATCAGTATCCAGTCATTTTATACAGAGCTCGCTTTCAGCTGTCCGGGCTAGTGTGTTCTGTTGTTTAACTCTTGTTGGAGCCAAGAGCTTGGAAAAGTGAGGGTTTTTTTTAATGTAATTATTTACTATGCATCTCTCATTCAAATAATTTATTAATGCCCGGGGACAAACTTTCGATTTGCACCCCCCTTGAACTTTTCATTTGCACCCCCCTCAAACTATCGATTTCCACTCCCCCCCCCCCCCCTCAAACTTTCAATTTCGCGCCCCCCTAAGGTCGGCGCCCGGAGACATATGCCCCCCCGCCCCCCTCCCCCTCGCTACGCCTCTGTATGCTTCTCACATTCAAATCATTTATAAAATAAACAAACCTGATTGAATTAAGAAGTGCTGAATTAATGCTTTTCTTTAAATGGAAATAAATTCAAAGACTAATAAGATTCAACAATGGTCAATATATGTATTGCATTAACACATACTTTTATAAATATTTTAAAATGCAAAAAAAAAAGAACCGACTTTGCCATGCTATTTGTGCAATGAAAAGTTCATCCACTGTCGCAAAAAGATGGTTTAGAAAAAAATGAAAGGCACTAGATTTGAATCCCAAAAGAAATATGAATGTAGGTAGGACACAGCAAACTTGGACAAGATCAGTGAAGCAGAAGCACCTGGAATGTCGTAGACCTAACTTGGACGACTTGCCCAAAACAATGTACAATGGAGAGGTTTAGTTGCGTCCCTACGCTAAACAAAAGGCCCATATCTATGACCTTGATGATGAAGATATAAATATCTAAAGACTAAAAATGATCCAAGCTAGCCTCTCCAAAATAATCTAAACAAACCATTAGTACCAAGCCCAGATGTAGCATAGCTGTACAATATTTTAACCTTATGAGATTATTCCCATATGTTTGTGGAAAACCCTATCTTATCTTGATATTCTGCTTGCACTGAATTAAATGAAAATACTAATTATAGTTTTTACTTTCCACAAATTTAAAAAAATTCATAAAAAACGTTTTAATAACAAGCTTTTATATAATAATGTACTAAAAAGTAGAAAATAAATTATACACTACTATTTAAATAACTATAAAGAAAAGTGTGGGTCACTTAAGTACCTATTGGATACCTTTACTAATATTTGAAAAGAGACCCACGCTTTTCTTTATAGTTATTTAAATAGTAGTGTATAATTTATTTTCTACTTTTTAGTACATTATTATATAAATGCTTGTTATTAAAACGTTTTTTTTAATGAATTTTTACCTGTTTTATTTACAATAGTTACATGACTAAAAACCATTGACAAGTTTATAGCTAAAGTTTCAGTAAAATATTATGGGATGGCGCAGTCTAGTGGTAAAGAACTAGACTGCTGACCCGACTAAAAACCATCATGCGCCTATTGAACGTGATGACGCGCTTTTGATGTAGAGACCCCCTCGCTCCACGCCCAACACGGCGTGAAGCGAGGAAGCAAGTTAAATAAAAGCTTGTATAAATAGAATACATTCTAATGAACTTAACTTTATTAACTCTTTTACTTGCGTCGTTTGGCTTTATGAAATCATTTTTTTAACTGAAAGCTACTGAATTCTTTACTGTAATTTACGAATATGCGGGAGCTGGGGTATTTCTACATACACGTTAACACCTCTCTGTTAACACCTCTCTGTGTGTTAAAGGTATCAGTGACCCCTAGAGACGGTTGTTAGTGTGGTGCGTCATGGCTGGACACAGACAAGTAAGCAAGACATTCGTTACGTCACACTGGTCCACTGTCCCTCCGATGTCAACTTTCACCTGCAACATCCACCCCCCCCCCCCCCGACACCGTTACACACCCACCCTGCTATAGCAACTTCTAATTACGATAAAAGACGCATATATTGTTTAAACCTTCAATTTACACTTGTGTAAACATCAGTAACTATTCCTCTTTAGACATAGCTATCCATTCGGCAGATGAAGTAGAGTTGATGTGTTTCTTGACCTCGGCATTTAAAGGGATAATGTGATCACCACTATGCCCAGCTGCCTTTCATGTCCCTAACGTGAGTCAGGTTCCCATCAGATTTGGGTGGACTCAGGGACGATCTACTCACTTAAACCCGGATTCGAACTCGAGACTTGCGGGTTAGCAACCTAGTAATCTAGCACTAAACCACTGTTCCCATTTTTATAAAAAAGATATGCATGATAAAACACACCAATACTTTTTAACCTTTACACTTCTTTCTGTAAAAATAAATGTAAAAAATTCATAAAAAACGTTTTAATAACAAGCTTTTATGTAATAATGCACTAAAAAGTATAAAATAAATTATAGACTACTATTTAAATAACTATAAAGAAAAGCGTGGGTATCTTCCTTAACATTAGTAAAGGTATCCAATAGATACTAAAGTGACCCACGCTTTTCTTTATAGTTATTTAAATAGTAGTCTATAATTTATTTTCTACTTTTTAGTGCATTATTACATAAAAGCTTGTTATTAAAACGTTTTTTATGAATTTTTTTTTCAGTACTTTACATGTTTTATTTACAATAGAGTTACATGACTAAAAACCATTGCGCGCCTACTGAACGTGATGGCGCAGCTATTGAACGTACCGTGATGGCGCAGCTATTGAACGTGATGACGCGTGTGGTGTGGTTGGCTAGACATGCCTATTGATTCGGTCCAAATTTTAATTAATTCATAAAAAATTAATTAGGCATCCAATTAAGTCAAATTTAGTTTCAGATTGCAATGTCTTCATGTCTTGACCCACGTGCCAACTGTGAATCGTATCGGTCAAGTAGAACTGTCCGAATTTTCATTCCAGCGTTTCGATCTAGACTGACGACTTACGACTGGCGACTGACGACTGGCGACAAACATAGGAAGTGAGTTAAATAAAAGCTTGTAAAAAAGATACAACAGAGAAATTTTTTTTTAAACTGTTTTTTTTTTAAATTGTAAGAAACTATTTAAAGAAGCGACAGTACGTTGGCTCTAAGATAAGCGACAACAGTACAGACATAGCAGGAACTGTCAGGATGGTGTGTAGTCACATCGTGTGTGTTGTGTTGATACTCGCTGTGTTGGCGACGTCACACTCTCAGGCTGCAGATGTGTGCCCTCCAGAGGTAAGGGTGTACGGTATCATGACAACCATATGACAATCGCATGACATCTTCATAACAACCAAATGAAAACCCCATGACAACCACATGACAACCACATGACAATCACATGACAACCACATGACAACCTCATGACAACCACATGACAATCACATGACAACCACGTGACAACCACGTGACAACCACATGACAATCACATGACAACCGCATAACAGCCACTAAATATCTTCATAACAACCATGAGACCACCACATGACAACCTCATGACAACCACATGACAATCACATGACAACCACATGACAACCACATGACAATCACATGACAACCACATGACAACCAAATGACAACCACATGACAACCACAAGATATCTTCATAACAACCACATGACAACCTCATGACAACCACATGACAACCACATGACAACCACATGACAATGTGACCTACTTAGGTCTTGTATTTTTTTTAGTTTGACTTTTATTGCTCAACCATGAGTGACTGTGGTGCAACCACCAGGTAATTTTCCATAGTTCTAAGAAAGACATATACCCTAGTACTTTTCCATCAAGAGTGATGGTGCAATACTTTTATACTTTCGATTGGTTGATTCGGACATCAGAGTTGTCCCAACCAATAGTCTCATGTTTTGAAGGTGACCTCCCATGTTGCCTCAGGTGTCAAACAGTCTGCGCAGACTCTTCTGCAAGCAGTCCACCGCAGCAGTCCGTAGCAGCAAGTCAGACCAGACATCTTTGAGAGAGAAAGCCTTGAGTGTCGCTATTTTGTAGCCTATAGTTTTAAGCAGCTTGTTCCATTATTACTTGTGGTTTTAAGTAATATTTTGTGCTTTAAGTAGTGTCGTATAAGCTGTGGTGCTTTTCCTAAGTGCCATATCCTGTGATAGTGTTAAATAGTGTTTTTTCCTCAAATTGTAATTTGGGTTTTTGATAATCTACTCCTTCATTTTATTCTGTATAAAGCTAGAGTCTTACCTTGAATTTGTACACATATTAAAAGTTATATATGGATTAAATGTATTGTTGGCATCAGGAGTTCATCGAGTGTATCCCCTAGACGTTAAGTACGTGTCCTCGTTAACTGTTGTGCTAGCTACCATTTATAGGGCTTTATGCCATCTGTGTATAACCATCTAAAAGAACCCGGGTACGTTCGCCAGCTATCTGGCTGATAGAGTGGTGTTCGTAATAACAATCACATGACAACCCCATGACAACCAAATGACAACCACATGACAACCACAAGACATCTTCATAACAACCACATGACAACCACATGACAACCACATGACAACCACATGACAATCACATGACAAACACATGACAACCACATGACAACCGCATAACAGCCACTAAATATCTTCATAACAACCATGAGACAACCACATGACAACCATATGACAACCACAAAACATCTTCATAACAACCACATGACAACCACATGACAACCACATGACAACCACATGACAACTACAAGACATCTTCATAGCAACCACATGACAACCACGTGACAACAAGAAGACAACCACATGACAAGCACAAGAAAATTAAAAAAAAAACATTTACAGGACAGTGTTATAACTGCTCCACCATGTTATAACTGCTGAGTGAGTGTCTTTGGTTATTTGATCCAATACCATTTTTTGTCTTAACCACTACCATGTGGAGATGTGTTCACAGACGTACATTGTACTATCATTCACTAAGACGACGTGGACGACCAACAATCAATGAGAGGAACTCAGGCTTCTTTTCTTATCTTTAATTCTGTACTCTCAACTCACATACATCCTTCCACCAAGGCGAAGAAAATCATACTCACTCACGCACAATACCTAGTAACCAGTCTCTACACCAGAACGTCACTGTCGCACCATACGCGTCATCATTCCTTGCGTTCAACATACCTTTCGCACCAACATTCATTCGCGCCAATCTATAGCATAGATTATAACATGCATCATAACAGACAGTATGCTACTGTCATTTGTATTTTTAAAAATTGTTTATCTTGATTTTCTTAATTAAAGTCACTATATATCTCAAACCATGTACCACTATTTAAACCTCCCAAATCCCCCACCCCCACCATATCATCTCCCCCAGGGTTGCAGGTTTGGGGGTGTTGACACCGTTAATTGCAACAGTCCTGATTTGTTAACATTCCCATCATTTGAAGCATGCAAGTCTTTCACGTTCATGATTATCGGATTAACGGTTAGTAGTTTTATTGTCATGACTCGGGTCTTATTTACTTTAGTTTAACAACAGTTCTCAGGTGAAATACTATTTGTAGAATATTGTAATTCTATATATACATAATTATTGAATTGACATATATTCCTAAATATTTTTTTACCAGATGAGTTTATTTATTTTTAAATTATTTTTTAAAAATAATTTGAATTTTTTTTCCTCCTTTGTAACCAAAAAAAAAATAATATTTATGAATTATTTTGAAATCTTTCAGGGTACATCAGTAAAGCTGATTCCCGACTCTTCCCTCCCCGCTAATTTACAAAAGTTATCTATCTTTGAACACGAGCCCCTGAGTTTCTCCGATCACGCGTTCCACAACTGCGCACAGACATTGCGCAGGTTCAGTCTGGAACAAATCGGACTCACGAAGCTGCCTGATGCGCTTCTAGAACTCACCGCCCTGGAAGAGTTCCATCTCTGGGACGAAACGGAAATTACCGACTGGAACTTGCCGGTCTTGAAAAACATCGGCCGGACGGTCAAGGATCTTCTGTTACACAACACAAGCCTAAACTCTTGGCCTGATTGGCTGGTGCATTTTGTCTCATTGACCTATCTAGATATAGCCATGACCTCCATGACCCCAGTTCCAGACGACGCCCTACACCAAGTCTCAGACACACTGAAAATCCTGTACATGCGCGCAACAAACTTGACCCGCGTCCCTAAAGCCTTCGCCTCGCTGACCGCCCTCACAGAGCTCTACCTGAACGAGAACCACATCACCAAAGTCGATAACACCCCGTCGTCGCTACTTAGTCTATATTTAGAAAACAACGGTATTACGGAAATATCCGATGACACATTCCCTCAACGTAATTCTTTCCTTACTTTAAACTTAAGACAAAATCCTATAACGAGAATATCGCCTAACGCCTTTCTACATCTCAGTTCCTTAAAGGAATTGTACCTGCAAGACACCTGGCTCTCCAGGCTTCCTCTGGCACTGTCACACCTGAGCAGTCTGGACCAGCTACTCATGGCCGTGAACTCACGTCTAGTCTGCACGTGTGAGGAGTCGGGTCTTCTCCCTTGGTTCAGTTCCAGACCCAACATGTACGTGCAGGGAACTTGTGGGGATATCGAGATCAAAACTTTCTTTACGTTACTAGCCGGCAGTTGTCCGGGTCATTAGCCGGCAGTTGTCCGGGTCATTAGCCGGCAGTTGTCCGGGTCATTAGCCGGCAGTTGTCCATGTCATTAGCCGGCAGTTGTCCAGGTCATTAGCCGGCAGTTGTCCAGGTCATTAGCCGGCAGTTGTCCAGGCCATTAGCCGGCAGTTCTCTTTGTCTTTAGCTGTCAATTGTCCAGGTCATTAGCCGGCAGTTGTCCAGGTCATTAGCCGGTAGTTGTCCAGGTCATTAGCCGGCAGTTGTCCAGGTCATTAGCCGGCAGTTGTCCAGGTCATTAGCCGGCAGCTGTCTTTGGCCATCATTTGTCTTAGTCATCAATCCTTTAACTTTCCGGCACCTGTCCTGATCTAATTACACCACCGACACACGTAAAATAAGATTCACATAAATAGTCTTTATATTTGAGCTTAAGTGCTTCAAAAAAGAACTTAAAAAAGAAATTGTATTTTACACGCACAAAATCATATAAGTAAACTTTCTCTAACTTTTCAAAATTGTATTTGATTACTTATTGTGGAAATATGTTTCATAAATTTTAATGGTGAGATAAAAATATTTCAAGTAAACAGATTACTAATGTTCACACCTTTTCGTGGGTTTCCATTGCCACCAGAACTGCTATAGGCAGTTCGAATCCGGGTTCAAGTCAGTAGAACGTCCCTGAGTCCACCCAACTCTGATGGGTACCTAACTCACGTTAGGGAAAGTAAAGACAGATGTGCTGACCACACTATCCCTTCATATGTCTCTGAAATACATGAACTCTTCTTGACCTGCCCCATGTGTGTGTCTTGGACACGAAAGAGAAAGGGTAATGGTAAGGAAAAAAAAACAACTCCATTGATGGGTAACCGTTAGGACAGCTAGAAAATCATTTAAAACGTCATTTAAAACTATTTCTGTAGACAGTACTTTGTACGTATGTGCAAAAATTATCTCGCCTCATTTAGTCCTGGTTATCCAACCCTTGCACTTCTATCCTCCCCTCCTTCCCCCATCTAGAATTATTCCCCTGCACTAGTCCTCTCCCCCCTAACGCTAGTCACCCCCACCCCTACCCTAGCATGCCCCCACTCTAACACTAGTGACACTCACCCTAAACAAGCCCCTCCCCCACCCAATCACTAGTCACCCCCACCCTAACACTAGTCACCCCCACCCCCCTAACACTAGTCACCCCCACCCCTACTCTAGCATGCCCCCCCCCCCCACTCTAACACTAGTGACCCTCACCCTAAACAAGCCCCTCCCCCACCCTAACACTAGCCACCCCCACCCTTGCACTAGTCACCCCAACCTAACACCAGCCACCCCCACCCTAACTCTAGTCACCCCCACCAAACATACCCTCCCTACCGTAGCACTTGTCCGCGCTTTACACTGATCCACATTGCAATTTTTGTTCTAAGGGAAATAACTCTGCTAGCCATAAATATTTTAATTTTCCATCGATTATTAGCCATTGAACTAAAAACTAGGGGGAAATATATTGATACAAAATGTACTTTAGCAAACTAATAAAAAGCAAGTTATTCTAAATAATTAATGTTTTTTAGAATTTTTTTTAAATTTTGAGACCGATTAAGCGGGTTAGTATGACTAGTGTTCTTTGACCATAAAACATGATATAAGAGTTGTCTACATTCAAAGTTTGATTCGCTACCCTCTGCATTGATATATGCCATTGCCCGCAGTGTTGCAGACATTGGTGAAAACATTGTGACTCAAATAGTGAAAAAAGCAAGCAAGTTGGGCTATTTTTTAATTGTAATGGATTAGTCGCTGGACAGCTGTTCCACCTCTCAACTGCTTGTGTTTATTAGAGGTGTGAATGAAGACATAAACATAACACAGGAGCTGGCTTCCCTACATAGAATGTATGTTACTATTACCGGAGAGGATATATTCAATGATTTTTTACAAATGCTGATTTTAACTTGGACTGGACTAACCTCAGCTGAATGTTGATGGAGGAAAGTACATAAGTGGCATAAAAAAAGGCTTGGTTGGACAAGCGAATGAGAAAAACATTCTACAGCCTATGTTCCTGCACTTATTCACCAGCAAACTTTTTTTTTTGTGCTAAATATATGGAGATTAGCAGTGTACTGAATCATGTGGTGAAGATGATGAATTCAATAAGGTCACATGGGCTCAACAATATATAGTTCAGAGACATGTTGAAAGATGCAAGCACAGAAACGCAGCATTTACCATATTATACAACAGTAAGATGGCTAAATTGTCGGAAAGTTCTGAGCAGAGTATTTAAGTTTTAAGCAAGGAAATAGGTGCCTAACGGAAAGTAAAAGCAAACCACGGCCATTAATGTATGATGAAGAGTGGGTATGGAAATTGGCCTTTGCTGCAGTCATAACTAGTCATTTAAATTTTCTGAACCTAAAACTACAAGGAAAGTAAAATCTAGTTTCTGTTCTATACATCCACATAAAGGCCTTCAGATCCAAACGGGTCTTGCTTTTGGAACAAGTACAGGCCAACAACTTGACGCACTTTCAGCAGTGCAAGGTCGTCATGGCTAAAGCAACAGTCATTTGCATGTAAGATCATCAAGGACCTCCAGCTGCAATTTCTGTAGCGGTTTTCTGACTTGGATTCAAAGGCAGAAGAAGTGAGACGGTTTCAAAAACTCATTTGAAGCAAATGTGGCCAGTTTCACAGATGAACTGCAGCTGGAGGTCATTGAATTGCAAGCAAAAGACTTCCTTAGAGACAAGTTCAAAGAACGGCGGGTTTTTATAAGGCATTTTAATAAGTTTTCGCAAAAGGAAGACTTTCCTAATATTAAAAATTTTGCATCAAAGTACCTTTCAAATTTCGGAACAACATTTTCAAGAATGAAATACGTGAACAACAATTTGAGAACAAACTTGGACCTCGAGTGTGTTTCTTTCAGAAATTTGTATATATTTCTATATAAATTATACTTTGTTGGGGGGGGGGGGGTAGACGTTCTTGGGGGGGGGGGGGGGGGGGGGGGGAGGAGGGAGATTCGTTAACTCGAAGAAATTCCTAGAAGAAACTCTGGCCCCCCACCTGATATTTTACAGTTAATGCGGCCCTTGGGCTGAAAAGTTTGGAGACCCCTGGTTTAGTGGTCTGATAGGTAATAGAGAAATGAGAATGCAGGTGATGAAGAATCGCAGTTCTGGAGTTCGGGATGATTGATTCTTGTGGTATTAACGTATCGAATTATATTGACTGTTAAAGTGTAGTAGTAGGTCCAGTGAAATCGTTGTTGATTTGGAGTATCGTTTGTAGAGCTTGGTAAAGTTAAACGAGTTGTTGTCATAGTTCTGGAGCATCTAGTCTAGTTATGTTTAGGTATCGAAGTTTGATATGTGTTGTGAATGTAGTAGAGTATATCAAGTAGTCGAGTTTATCGTAAGTTGGATGATTTCAATTCAGTACCGAACACACGAGAAAGGTAGGCGTTCTCTAGTTGAAAAATCTTTCGTTTTTTAGGAATCTATATTACCACTCTTTAAGTATTAAAATATATAATATTAAATAGGATGGAATTTATAACTTATTGTAAGCTTTGTTTTTTTTTCAAATAATAATTTTTTTAAATGTTTTAATCAATAATTCTAGCAATGTCTAAAACAGTTACCCGTGTTTGATGCTTTGAAAGACGTCCCTTTATTAAGGGGATCCAAAAACATTTATCAATTTCAATAATCCGATGTTTTGAGCAGCGAATTACATGTATGTCATCAAAATTGAATAGAAGTATGTTATAATCAAGCTACCATTTTTTGACTTTCGAACAAAACCTACAGTTAAGTATTCAATTGGTAAAATATATTGCTTTTACAAGATTACATAGTTATATAAAGGATTTGTTATAATTATTACGTAACGAAATTTTGAGCTTTTAATTGTGTTTTTCAAGCATGTCTTAGTTACACTTGGTTAATTTAGCAATTCTTTTTAAAGTTATTTCCCTTTAATAAAATTTTGGTATTTGGATTTTCAAATGGGAGATAATTCGTTGCTTAACTTTACATTCATTTCAAATTCTTGCACCTTAGGTTGACCGCTTACTTATAAATACAACTTTAAGTTATTATTATTATTATTTGCTATTGTAACAATTATATAGAGCAGAATTATTAAACAAAATAGTTTGGTAGGTTTTTTTTTAGCATTATCAAGTTGAAAAACAAATACATCTGTAGCTGTTGTAGATTGCAATACTTAACATTAGTAGATATACAGTCTTAGTCGTAAATTAAACATCTAATTAATTGTCTTTTCGTATTTTTTACCCTCTCCTAAAGGATTCATATATAACAATTTAAGACTGGAACCTTTTATTTTTCAAAAACAAAAAAAAAATCCTTTCATATTCATATAATATAGACATTTTACAATTACAACTAAAGACAGTCAAGCTTAAAACAGGTAAGTTCCGTTTTTAAAAGTCACCTTGGGAGGACTGCAGAGAGCCCAACACTACAAGAACTTTTTTCCAGCGGTTTTTTTTACAGACCCCCCCCCCCCATCCCCGGGAGGAGGGGGGAGAGGGGGGGAAGTACTTAAAATTTTCTAGGGGGGGTGGGTTGGCGTTGTCAGAGGGGTGGGGGCTATTTGGTTAAGTACAAAGTAGACTCGTGGACAATTCCAATAAAATGTGATTACGTTGCTTACTGGAATTGAAGGAATTAGTACAAACTTTTGAGACGAAGGAGGCAAGTAAAATTTAATTTTTTAACGTTTATGCAATTGATAATAAATTAATATGTCTCTTTTAATTAATTGTTTTCTTATTCATTTCGTATGTTTTAGTAATTAATTTATGTAAAAGGGGGCGTTTTAATACGTTTTGCCTAGGGCGCTAAATAACCTGGCGCCGGCATTGAATATACCCCACACATTCAACAATACCTTCCCTCTAATATACCCCACACATTCAACAATACCTTCCCTCTGAAATACCCCAGCCTTCTCGTTCAAACTTAATAAACCACAAGAATTAAAACTAAAACACAACACATGTACACGACAACTTTTTTTTTTTTTTTCAAAAACACCAAAATACATGTCAAACACCTCATGCGTGACTGACATCATGATTATATCATCGTGAATTATCCCGCATAATTTTAAGGTAACTGTTATTTATAAAATACAACTTCATTTTTTCCCCTTATATTTGTATTGAAATCATAATTATAGTTTCTCTTATGTTGGCACCCTATGATCCCAAGTTACGATTTCAAGAAAAAAAAAATAACAATGGGCTTATCAAATGAAATGATCGGCCCATTATCCGACATCATAAAAATCCGATACGTTTTATTCAATTGTGTGTATAACAGAAATGTTCAATAAATGAATCCAATCAATTCATTTATTGCCAAATAGAGCGTATCTTCAACAAAACCAACTCCCCGATACGTCACACACGGTCTAGCTTACCTCCCCTGGTTCAC